CCAAAGGGGTCGCGACCCACAGGTTGAGAACCGCTGTTCTACAGGAACATTGTGACTTCTTGCTCCTTTCCTATGCTTGTATTGTCACTCAGCCATTAAGGAAGGACAACTATGCTAGACATGTTGCTTTTCTAGTAGTGCTCTCTCGGGAAGAGTACCCAATTGCTGAGGCTTAACAAGTATAAGAAGTTCACGCAAAGAGAATGAGGGAGAGAGAAATCATAACCGCCCACTCACACTCACACATACCTGGCATTTCAGGTTTTGAGCAGTTAATAACCAACTCCTTCCGTTGGAAGCTGTCGCGCTCACAATGCGGGTTTGATTGTTCTCACACACCCCTCCTGAGCACCCCTTCTTTCCTGAAAGGCCTCCGCACAAGCCCATGTTTCACCTTCGAAAGGCAAAGGGGTGGCGTGGAGTTTAAAAGGAAATACAGAGGCGTTCACAAAGCGGAGCAAGGAGCAAAGGTTCTCAGTCCGGGAGGCCAGTGTGTTTAAGTCAATATTGTTTTCCACCGCTCTGTGTCCATTCACAGAGAGATTGGGTTGAAGTTGTGGTTCGTCTGGATTCCCTTCCTCTGACGGAGGGATTGAGGAGTCCGAGGCACCATTGGGAGATTCACAGGAAAGAGAATGGATGGGGGAGTCTTTTACAGAGAATGGTGAGTCATGCTAAAATGAAGATAGCACGCAGATTCAAGAGAGGCAAGGATCATGAGTCAGCAGAGGGAGTCTGGAGAGGCCCCCAAGTTGAGCAAAGCAGCAGATGTGGAGGTCAGAGAGCAGAGCTGGCGGGGCAGAGAGACAAGAAAACCAAGGCAGGGCACAGAGGGGGCAAGAGCTATGGGAAAGCTGTCCTGGGCGAATATTCGGGACAAGGGCTTGTGGGGACGGCCTGCTACTGAGGGCTAAAGGGGACAGTCCTGTGAGGGTAAGCCAGTGGATCCGCAGCCACTCAGGGAGCTCTGATCTTGAAGAAGTTTTATCAAGGTGACAGCAAACACTGTCACTAATTATATGGAATGCTTACTCTGCTCTCTGCTAAACTGTGAACATTAATTTAAAATACGGTGCTTCATACTTGCAACAACAATATTTTTAAAAATGTATTTTTATTGATTTCAGAGAGGAAGGGAGAGGGAGAGAGAGATAGAAACACCAGTGGTGAGAGAGAATCATTGATCAGCTGCCCCCTGCTCGCCCCCTACTGGGGATAGAGCCCACAACCTAGACATGTGCCCTGACCAGGAATGGAACCGTGACCTCCTGGTTCGTAGATCGACGCTCAACCACTGAGCCACCACGCCAGGCACAACAACAACATTGAATAGGTATAATTACCCCTGCTTTGCACCCCAGAAAACTGAGGTAAAATCATGTGTCTAAGATCACACGGGAACTGGCAACACAATGGCTTGAGGTCCGGTCTTTGTGTTTTCAGAGCCCTCGTTCTTCTCAAACTTGAGATAATTAAATATGCACAGTCCTCCCAGATATTCTGACTCACTGGTTTTGGGGGCAGGGCCAGGGAATCTGGGTTTTAATATACATCCCCAGTGTAGACAGAGGAGTTCAGGTCCCCGTGCCAGACACTCCACAACACTACCCTGTCCAGGTGCAGGGGACTTTGCTATCCAACAGCAAAGTTCAGAAACAGGCATACAGGGAATAAGGAGAAAATAAATTGGAGGGAGCAGGTAGAAGAGGTTTCGCCTGCTGGCCTGTGATAGACAGTCCTGATAGTCTACTCATTCTCCCAAAACATTGTTTCCTGCCACTTGAAAACAGCGAAAAGTATTCAATCTGGTAACTGAAGATCAAGCTTACTCCTGAGTTTAGGAGTTCGGGTCTGCAGACCCCAATCCCTTGTTCCATCCCGGGTTAGGGATACAGGAGTCTTCTCCTGACCATCCCTGGGACTGTATTATTTTTTTAAAAATATATTTTATTGATTTTTCACAGAGAGGAATGGAAAGGGATAGAAAGTTAGAAACATCGATGAGAGAGAAACATCGATCAGCTGCCTCCTGCGCACCCCCTACTGGGGATGTGCCCGAAACCAGGAACATGCTCTCAACCGGAATCAAACCCGGGACCCTTCAGTCCGCAGGCCGATGCCCTATCCACTGAGCCAAACCGGTTAGGGCCTGTATTATTTTTTATTTTTTAAAAATCCTCACCCAAGGATATTTTTCCATTGATTTTTAGAGAGAGTGAAAGACAGAGAGAAACATCCATGTGAGAGAAACACATCGATGGGTTGCCTCCTGCACATGCCCTGACCAGGGACTGGGCCAGGGAGGAGCCCGCAACTGAGGTATGTGCCCTTGACCGGAATCGAACCCGGGACCCTTTGGTTCGCAGGTCGATGCTCTATCCACAGAGCCAAACCAGGAGCTAGGGCCCTGGGCCTGTAGTCTACAAAGCTCTCAGGGCAGGAACATTGGGCACTGTCATTTCTCATTTGTGAGAATCCCATTTCATTGGTTCTAACCAGAATAGAAAGAGAGCAAGGACTGGACTTTCCAGCAATTCTAAAGACAATTTTTAAACAAAGGGAGTTGTTCTCCGAATTACCCACCAAACAAAGCACATTGATAAAAATCACCGCTGGGTTTCCCAACATCATTATCATGCATGAACAGGCATCTCTCCCACGTGGGTTAAACTCTTGGATTCTCGGATCAAGCTTCACAGGAGAAATCTGTCTTGCTCACGATGCTTTTTCTCATCTCCCAGGGTCCCCCCTTTTAGGGCTGATAACTTTCTTTTTATCTAGATTTTTTTTTTTTAAAGAGCCTGGGAGACAGGTTCCAGCAAGCGAAAGGAGGCCGTAGGTAGTTCCTTTGCAATTTTCATTTCTCCACATGCCATTTGCATAACTCATCATCTACATCAGCTGGAAACATTCTCGTGAATTTGTTTATTTCTTCTCACAGGTTCCTAAGTCTTCTCTCCTCTGTCTCGGCGGCCCTTCTACTCCCCTGCGTCTGCAAGCGCCTTTGTGGCCTCCACTGCAGGCCTCCAGCCAAGGCCAAAACGGATTCTTTTCATCTATTCAAGTGTGATCTGGGCCAGACAAGCCTGCTCCCCAGGCAAGAGGCATAGAAAAGTATTCTGTATTCAGCTTTCAGCTCCGCAGACTCTATGGGGAGGGCCCAGCCCAAGCTTGGCAAGGCCGACGCAGTGACCAGGGCCATTTGGCAGACGCAGGAATGCTGTCTGTTTGGCCCCTTCCCTTCACCTGGACAGAGCACCGAGCAGAAAGCAGCAGGAATGGTGAGTGTGTCCTGTTCCAGGCGCTTCCTCTAAGTGCACGCCCAGCTTTAAAAAGCACCTTCTGCCCTAACTAGTTTGGCTCAGAGGATGGAGCGTCGGCCTGCGGACTGAAGGGCCCCAGGTTCGATTCTGGTCAAGGGCATGTACCTTGGTTGCGGGCACACCCCCACAGGGGAGTGTTGTTCAGGAGGCAGCTGATTGATGTTTCTCTCTCATCGATGTTTCTGGCTCTCTGTCCCTCTCCCTTCCTCTCTGTAGAAAAATCAATAAAATATAGTTTTAAAAAAAAGCACCTTCTAACAGTGGTTCTCAACCTTCCTAATGCCGCGACCCTTTAATACAGTTCCTCATGTTGTGGTGACCCCCAACCATAAAATTATTTTCGTTGCTACTTCATAACTGTAATTTTGCTACTGTTATGAATTGTCATGTAAATATCTGATATAAAAGATGTATTTCCATTGTTACAAATTGAACATAATTAAAGCATAGTGATTAATCACAAAAACAATATGTAATTATATATGTGTTTTCCAATGGTCTTAGGCGACCCCTGTGAAAGGGTTGTTCGACCCCCAAAGGGGTCGAAACCCACAGGTTGAGAACCGCTGTTCTAAGAGATCAACCAAAGGACTTGGATGCATGCATATAAGCATAACCAATGGGCACAGACAGTAGGGGGGTGAGGGCATGTGCTGGGTGGGTGGGAGCGGCCGGGGAGAGGTCAAGGCAGGAAAAAGGAGACCCATGTAATACTTTAAACAATCAAGAATTTAAATTAAAAATAAATAATAAATAAATAAAAAGCACCTCCTTTTCCCTCTCAACGCAGCAGGGGCGTGTTTGTTTGCTTGTTTGTTTGTGTGAGATGCCACATAAATTTCAAGAGCAGTACAGCGGTTATATATAGACTTGCTTAATATAATAATCAGCTGGTATGTTGGCATGTAAGTATCAAACAGAGCACCTATTTGTCTTCAATACGTAGAGGATTCAAGGCTTGAGGTATATTAACAGGAGAAGGGAACTGGGTGAAAATGGAGATTGAGCTATTTAAAAATACCTTTGCTTTGAGTCAATTGCCTAAAAATATACGTCCTGGTCCGGTAGCTCAGTTGGTTAGAGTGTAGTCCCAATACACCAAGATTGTGGGTTCAATCTCCGGTCAGGGCACATGCAAGAAGCAACCAATGAATGCATAAATAAGTGGAACAACAAATCTCTCTCTCTCTCTCTCTCTCTCTCTCTGTCTCTCCCCCGCCCCCCACTCCTGCCAGCCAGTGAACTGACTCTCCCCTCTTGCCCAGCCCTGCCCTTTCCAATCTAGTCATCACTCAAGCCCTAGTAATGCTATGCTTCAACTCCCATTTAAGCCAACTCTTTGTCTTTAAACTCTGTTGGCCACAACCCTGAAGGTGGGGTGGGGTGGCGTGAAGGATTTCTTATAGTGATCATACCATTTGTATTAGTCCTTCACACCGAAATGAAACTGTTGTTTCGGGGAATATTTTGGTTTTTTTGGTGAAGTCTTATAAGTCTATAAAAAATTCCTTATTATTTTCCTGTGTTTTTAGAAGTAAATTCATATACATTGTTGACACACAAAGTTGTAGCACCTCAGTATTTATATTTTCTTTACTCTCCTAATACTGCCTTTTGGTGTACCAGAGGAACGTGGAACTGAACGAATCAAGAAACCTGAGATTTCATCCACAACAGCACCCTGGATGAGTTTTCTTCTTTGTAAAAATGAAGATGATCCAACTCAGATTCCTTTCTGCTCTAGTTCTATGACTAGTTTCCCACATGATCTCCTATAGCTCTTGTTTACTATTGGCAGTGTCACTATTGGGGGTTGGGTTAGGGATACCAGTCACCCCGACCCTAGGGCTCTTGGTAATAGAATAAAAACCATAGCATGGCCCAGCCGGTGTGGCTCAGAAGTTGAGCATTGACCTATGGACCACAAGGTCACGGTTCGATTCCCGGTCAGAGCACACACCTGGGTTGCGAGCTCGATCCCCAGTGTGGGGCGTGCAGGAGGCAGCTTATGAATGATTCTCTCTCATCATTGATGTCTTTCTCTCTCTCTCCCTCTCTGAAATCAATAAAAATATATTTTTTAAAAACACACCAAAGGGTGGTCTCAATGAGAGTCAAAGCTCTCTGGTAACAGCCACACGAAGAATGTATCTAATTCTTATTTAGACCAGGGTTAGTTCCTGACTGACTCAGAACCCTAGTCTAACCCATTTCCTTACTAAATTAGTTAATCTCTTCCCACAGATAATTTCCAAATCTCTATTAAGCAGTCTTTCCTCTTGGAATACCACGTCAACGTTCAGGAAGCTTGACATTCTTGATAACAATATGCAGTTGTAATATAGAGATACAGGTCTCTTTTCCCTCATCATAACAATTCAGAGCTTCCCTCTTGGCCATTTGGTATCTTCTTCAGGAAGAAAGCAAAGGCTGTGTGTCTACATTGCCCAAATCTCCGCCAGGAGTGAAAAGTTCAATCCCTCCCATGCAGTGCCTAAGAGTCTGAAACTCGCCTTCAGGGGACCGATTGAAATGTTCTCTTTTCGTTCCAGTGTTTGTGCAGGTAGACTGAGCTGGAGTCGTTCGCTGTAGAATTGATCAACCAAGCAGCCCTCCTGTCATTGTGTGAAGAGAGATCAAAGAACAGTCTGAAATCTGCGTGTATTTGTAAGGTTTGGAAGGAGATACTAAATGTTCAGTCTATCTATCTTGCAGCATCTACCTGATTTAGGACACAATAGCCCCAGATTAACTAGGACCAAGTGTTTCATCTGGAGAGAGGGTAGGATGAGTCATTGAAAACAAAATAATACTTATTTGTAGCAAATAAAACTGTTGTTGAACAAGTTAAGAGGTTTTATTTTATTTTTTTTCTCTTACATTGCAAAGCACCAAGAGAAAGATAGTCCAAGGTGGGTATGGCAGCTCCATGATGTCATCAGAGACTCAGACTCCTGTTACCTTTCCATGCAGCCATCCTTAGAATATGCTTTCTCCATCTTCATGATACCAAAATGATACCTATTCCACCCTCCCGTCTCCACCACCCCCTCCTCCTCCCACCCCAGGCATCACGACCCCATTCTAGGCAGGAAAAAGAAGAATGGATAGCGGACAATGGTGAGTGTCAACTGAGTTATTTCTCTTTTAAAAACATTACAGAAAGCCTGACTCAGTAACTTTGGCTTTCATTTTAATGGCAATGACTGTCATAAAATTCCAACTGCCACGCATATTGGGACATGGAGTTTGATAGCTTGGTCCATGCCATCCTATATAATGTCAAAGCTCTGATTATAAGAAAGAAGTAATTCATTTTTGGTTAAGCAATTAGTAATTTTTGTTACAATGTGGAGGGAGGGTGTGTGTTGTGTAAGAATGGAAAATAGCATAGTGTAACAGTGGTGGGAAGGGATATTTCTTCCAATTCATTTCATTTTGGTGGGTGGATCATGGGAAAGAGATAGAAAGAGATCATTTTCTGCTAGGAGTCCTGGTTGTTCAGGGAATGAGCAGGTGTGTTGTTACAATGTGGAGGGATGTGTGTGTGTGTGTAAGAATGGAAAATAGCATAGTGTAACAGTGGTGGGAAGGGATATTTCTTCCAATTCATTTCATTTTGGTGGGTGGATCATGGGAAAGAGATAGAAAGAGATCATTTTCTGCTAGGAGTCCTGGTTGTTCAGGGAATGAGCAGGTGTGTCTGTTGAAAGATCGCAGCTGACAGCACCTGCTGGGAACTGGCTGAGGCTCCGCACAGGGTTCCACAGAAGCCCCTGGGAACCGCCTCTTACCTTTCAACTCCGCAGACAATGAGTCAGTAGAGTTCTGCATAACTAGTGAGGGAGGAATTTTGTAAGACTGCCTGCACGCATACCTTGCAGAAGCAATGCTTGTTATATATTTCTTCTATTAGCGAAGTGGCTCTATAACCCTGTAGAAGACTGACTGAGGGTGGTAGGTAAGACCGCCTGGCAATATTTGATTTTCCCCCAGATGCTGGGAGAGTGTAAGTCAAATGAAGGCTGTGGTCTGAAACCAGTGACCTCTGGGAAGGACAAGGCTGGCCAAGCATCGTTACTCATTTCATTTGCCTGATCTCTCTTTTTGGAAACAACATAGAACCTAGTAGAGAGTTAAACTGAATATAAAACAAGAATATAAACTGAATATATATATACACTCAAAATGAGAAGAAACACATGTAAGCTAGAATAATTAGAAGGACTTCATGGAGGAACTAGCTCTTTATTAAAAATATATTTTTATTGATTTCAGAGAGGAAGGGAGAGGGAGAGAGAGAGACATCAATGATGAGAGAGAATAATTGATCGGCTGCCTCCTGCATGCCCCCTGCTGGGGATTGAGCCCACAACCTAGGCATGTGCCCTTGACTGGAATCAAACCCAGAACCCTTTAGTCCGCAGGCCGATGCTCTAGCCATTGAGCCAAACCAGCTAGGGCAGAACTAGCTCTTAAATTGAACCTCACAAAATTGGGAGAATTTTTTAAAAATCCTCACCCGAGGATATTATTTCCATTGATTTTTAGAGAGAGTGGATGGGAGGGGGGAGGAGAGAAAGAAAGAAACATTGATGTGATAGAGACGGATCGATTGGTTACCTCCCACACACACCTCGGTAGGGGCTGGGGATCAAACCTGCAACCTAGGTACATGCTCTTGACCTGGAAATGAACCTGTGACCCTTCGGTATGAGCGGACAATACTCTAACCACTTAGCAACACTGGCCAGGGCACAAAATCGGAAGACTTTCGATACTTATAGTCAAGAATAGGGAGCGCACCCTGTTGAAGTGCAGTGAGAACTCTGACACAAGGGAAGGAAGCAGTTCGGGGTGAAGTTCTCCTCCAGCAGGCTCTGGAACCCTCTGAAAGGAATAAGGGAAATAGGGGAGGACAGGAGAATGGCGAGGTAAATCACTGGGGGAGGGGATCCGGAAGGCCATAACTCACCCACCTTGTCCCTATCTTTCTTTTGTTAATACTTCCAAGTAATTGTCCAATCAGACAGAAACTTAAGAAAATCAATTCAGATAAAATTGTGATGAATAATATCAAGCATATATATGCATTGTTGGTGGGAGTGTAAATGGGTACAACACTTGCAAAGCCATCTGGCAGTACTGACTGAAGTGAGGTTTACATGTGTGCTGTGAGGCATCAATTCCACATATGTAAAGTGATATGTATATAAAATGACACTCACCAGCGGCATGGCTCAGTAGTTGAGTGCCATCGACCTGTGAACCAAGAGGTCACGGTTTGATTCCCAGTCAGGGCACATGCCTGGGTTGTAGGCTTGATCCCCAGTGGGGGGCATGAAGGAGGCAGCTGATCAATGATTCTCATCATCGATGTTTCTATCTCTCTCTTTCTCTTCCTTCTTCTCTGAAATCAATAAAATAAAAAAAAATTTAAATGACTCTAGTACCCATAACTAGGGGAGTGGATAAGTAAAATGTGAAAAATGCATACTATGGAATAAAATCCTACAGTTTGAAAAACTGAACTAGATATACATTTAGTGACATGATGAATATTAAAAACACAGTTTGTATTTTAAAAGTAAGGAAGAGAATGAGATGGAAGCACAATGCCATTTATAAGAATTAAAAGCACATACTAGTACACACACATAAAGAAAACACATACACACAGACCATTATGTCATTTAGAGCTTGTAGATACATGGGAAAAGATCAATCCATCCATCAAGGGAGGAGCTTTCAGATACTAATGATAAAAGCATGTGCTATGGACTCGCCTCTCTGTGCCTACAGTTTTGCTCCCACCTCTCCTCCCCACAAAATAAACCTTTAAACCTCCGGATATTTTTAAATGTATGAGTCGCACATGAACATATAGTTCTCCCATGTCTGAAATTGCAGTAAGAAGAAGAATCTCAGTGGGTCGTGAGAAAATTTAAGGAGATCTATTAGATGCCCAAACGGAGCCACACTCAGAGAGTAGGCGTGAACTGGGCTCACTAACTGCCCAGGGGACTCACAACGACCTTGATACCAATCTCACAGCGCCGGTGTCCAATTCCTGCCTCAGCGAAACGGTAAATCATCGCATCAGGAACTTTCAGCGTCAAACAAATCATCAAAACCACGACCAGTATGGGAAGTCCTCAAATGCAAGGGTATATAGCCCTGTTGCCTATTGACTTCAACCCCACAGAGAGCATAACGTAGCTATTGATTTGGGCTTACAGAGACTCATCAACACCAATATTCTCCCCTGTGGTCAGTTGTAGCTCAACTCAGTGCTCCTTTCTGATCATTACTCACTGAAGAAGGCCGTCCTGCCTGTTCAGGGATTACCAGGCGGCGTGAGCGGGGCGGCGAAGGCTAACGTAGCCAACTGACACTGTGGGACGGAGGAGACTGGCCAGAGTATAATGACCTCACCTGGCGTTGGATCAGATGATGGGGATTTTGCTGGCCTTTGGTCAAAGGTCTGGAACTGTGCACTTAGGTCTTTGGGGAACAATGTATAATCTGAAAAAGTGATTGGGAGCATACCATTGAGGGCAATGTAAGTATTGTTTGTAGCTAAATCTACAAAGATTAGAGGTTTGAGAAGCACTGCCGTGTTCTATTACAAATACATAAGCGGTTCTGAACACAGTCCAAGGCCTCTTGAAATTAATGTGAAATGTGACCCAAAATTCTTTCCTGTATAACCACTATCCAGCCCTGGCTCAGTGTGGCTTAGTTGATTGAGTATCGTCCTATGCACCAAAGGGTCACAGGTTCGATTCCTAGTAGAGACACAAGCCTGGATTATGGGGTAGGTAACCCAGTAGGGGGCGTGCAGGAGGCAGCTGATGGATGTTTCTCTCTCACATTGATGTTTCTCTCTTTCTCTCCCTCTCCCTTCCTCTCTAATATCAATAAAACATTTTTTTAAAAAAACTACTGTCCATGCAAGAGGAAAGTACTTTATTTTTCCACCCAATGAAGGAATTTTTAGATATCCTATCTATCCTGCTATAGTACATTATTCATAAAGTCTGTGAATCCTCTACTCCTTAGCCTCAAAAAAGTGGGACATCTTAAATGACTTGATAAACTAAAAGAATCCTCACCTATCTTCTGTAGATGGAGTCAAGCTAAAGTCCAAAACTCCATCAGATGATCCCTCAAGATCTCTTCCGGACTGGAGTTAAAAGATTCTTTAGTATGTGAATGGGAAACAAATTTAGAACTTGAAGGGATCTTAGAGGTCTTCCAGTCCAATTTCTTCCCTTTATCTTTGTAGAAATTATGTCTCCGAGAGGATAACTTGCCCCGTGTTGAGCAGCCCGCTCATTTCTATTCAATACTCATTTATCAAATACCTACTACATTTCAGGTATCATATTAAACAGTAGTACTACAGATAGAGTGAATAATAATAAAGCATGGCATGTTAGTTCAGCATGCATGCTAGAGCCAGATTCCCTGGATCCCATTTAGGCTTCACTACTTACTAGCTGTGTGACCTTGGTCAAGTCAACCTTTCTATGCTTCCGTTCATTTTCCATCCAATAAGATGATAAAAGACTATATATAACCCACGGGATCATTACAAGACTCAAAAGAAGCAATATACTGCCCAGCAGGCATAGCTCAGTGGTTGAGTGTCAACCTATGAACCAGGAGGTCACGGTTCAATTCCTGGTCAGGGCACAAGCCTGGGTTGCGGGCTCGATCCCCAGTGTGGAGCATGCA